ATATATATTAGACTCAGCAACTAATCAGAAGCTATATAGACCCTCTCCCCCTCCATTCATAGTCAGAGTTTGAGTTGCATCCTATTCACATCATTGTCATATTTTACATAAATTTTATTGTAAAAGTTAATAAAATTTATAGTATTTTAAAAACTACTCTTGTTGCATCAACGTTATAAGTGGCGCAGTCGAAAAGGACTAGATACACGGAAAACAGTCAAGCGCCGACCAGAATTCTTTTTTAGAAGAATTTCACAAGTAGATTTCATATAATGAACATCGAACAAAAGGTCATATTTTAAAATCCCGATCGACACAGGATGTACACGGTCATTTATAAATCCAGCACTAGCCAAGAAATATTTCAATACTGTCACCTCTGAACTTGAGGTACATTTAATTACCCCTGAAATTAGTCAGAGTACGCAGGGGGATACAAAGGAAATAAATAAACACACCAATTGGAATCAAATTCTTTCACCTTTTATTCGAGAATTAAGTACACACATCGGTTAATCCCTTCAAGTCAGTACCCAAGACAAATGCTATATCGGGGCGGGCTTGTCAAACGTTAGGGTCGCGGCAAGATCCAAGCGAGCACTCCTGGTTCAGCTTGTTCGTCACCCCCTCCTCTCACCCTTATCTCCTATTTCCGGGCTGAGCCCGTGACAATACAAAAATAAAATATAACCCATTTGAAGTGATCCGCACTAATGGCTCTTCAAGGGAAAATTACAGATCTTTTCTGAAATCAAACTATCTCTCAATCGCTGAGAAATTCTTTCTTTCAAGTTAAATTTCACCAAAAGTTCGATCTGTTACTAGGGGCTGACAATATTAAAATACTAAAATCTAAAACTGACCTTCCAAAAACTAAAATAAAAATACAAGCTAAAGCTTGTCTCAAAACATCGGATGATGCTGATTCTAGGGTCGAACAATCGAGACCTGATTTGAACCGGATTGCTAACAGAGGCAAATTCCGAAAAAATCATTCCCAGTAAAATAAAAAAATATCTGTTACGGACAAGCGCTATTAGGAAACGTTAAAATAAATAAATTAGAATTCCCTGAGGCAGGGATAAACGTAAAAAATAACACAGCCCTTTGAGTGGTGAGAAACGATACCGAAAATAATATAGAAATAAAGTTTGAACCAAATATAACAGACCTACTCGACAAATTAGGCCGATGCAATTATTTTAAAACACTTGACCTTGCATCAGGTTTTCACTAAATCGAACCGGCAAAGGACAATATACCGAAGACCGCACTTTCAAGGGAAAGTGGCCTGTATGAATTTCCTTCCAACTGTTACGAGACACAAATTTCAAAGTCCAACTAGAGAAAACCGAATTGCTAAAACGCCAAGTCGCATACCTAGGAAATATTGTGACAGAGGAAGGAGTCAAACCTAACTCCGACAAAATTGTTGCAAGAAAAAACTACCCCCACTCACCCTCCACCAAAAATAAAAAACCGACCAAACAAATAAAAGGATTTCTCGGACTATTAGGGTACTACCTAAAATTTATTCCGAACTTCGCACACCTGACGAAACCATTAACAAAATGTTTTACGGAAAAAGGCGCAAAAATATGCTCACAAAACTAATAATACCTGGAAACATTTAACATTAATGTTTAATTTAATGGTTAACGAACTTATCCTAAAATACTCAGACTTTACCAAAACGTAACTTGACCACTGGCGCTAGCAACATCCATCGTGGCGCTGTATTGAGCCAGACTTCGACGTTTCAGATTTACCCGCACCATATGCTAGCCGAAAACTTTAAGACACTGAAACGAATTTATCCACCATAGAACGAGAACTACTCGCCATCGTATGGGAAGTAAAATACTTCAAACCCTAATTATACGGAAAAAAATTATTTTCTCCGACCATAAACAATTGCTTTTCTCACTGAAAGGCCCTATCAAAATTACTACGATGGATGGAAGAACTTAACTTTAAGATTAAATACAAAAAAGGACAACTAAATGCCAACGCAGATGCTCCATCTAGAGTAGAAATACATATAAAGGATGGAAACTCTAGCCTTTCTAACTGGAAAGCAGAGATGTGTAAATGATGTGATGATGATGCTGCTAATGAGAGAGAGAGGAAAGAGAAAATGAATAAGAAAGTTAAAGAAATAAAGGTAGGGAGATGAAAAATTTTTAATCGTACAATACTGAAGACAAGAAATGAATAAGAAAGTTAAAGAAATAAAGGTAGGGAGATGAAAAATTTTTAATCGTACAATACTGAAGACAAGAAATGAATAGGTGAACTTAAATTTTAAAATTGGAAAAGTTGAAAAAAAAACGACATTGTTTTTATAGTATTTTACTCTTGTTCAATAAATAATTTTAATTGGTTGTAATTTTGTAAAGGAAATTGGAAAATAATTAGTTATTTTATACCAAAGTTTTGTATAATAACTGGAAATTCTGACTGCATTACCATAACAACCAAATATAAATAAAATCAGTCATCATATCTTAAGCAAATAATTAAATCTCTAAAAACAAAATTATCGTATTTCTCAAATTAACTGCAGGAAAACAAAATATTTTCTTGATTTGACCATTTGGAACAGATGTTTTTCTTTGTTGATGTTTTAAAGCCCATAGACGAAAACTCTATTTTTTACACAATGTTATCTTAAGCCCATTTACTAAAACCGGGATAGAAACCATCGAGCGAATAGCTTTATTTACACGTCTACGTTTATAAGAAAAGGACCAAAAATACATAATGTATGTTGAAGTGCTCGAAATTACTTACAGCTGTTCAATTTTGTTTTTTTAACCTGCTGCTTTTTGTAACCGTAGTTGCGCTTCAAATATTCAAACCTTAGTTTACCAAATTGATCGTTAACATATTTTCTCAATGGAACCGCCAAAGAAGGAAACTGATAAAAAAAAGGAAAATGAAAATGACGATAGTGATAGTGTTACGCCCTGTCGAACGTGTGGTTTGATGAATCTGCCGACAGTAGACGTAATTGAAATCTGCAACGAATGCGGTGAATGCGACGACTGTGAAGACGAAGATGAAGAAGGCGAAAACGAATTTGAAGAAGGCGAATTCGAATGGGAAGGCGCATTGAATTGGCGAAGCGGAATCGACGGTCAAGTCGGAATCGAAAGGCAATTCGGATTTCAAGGACAAGTCGGACTGCAGGGATCAGTCGGTCTGCAAGGACCAGTCGGACGGCAAGGGCCGAACAGACTCCAAGGACAAGGCCAATCTGAAAGCGCAGAATCGGAAGAAAGCGAACGCTTATTTTCAACCACGTCTAACGCCAAGAAACGAACCCCGGCCAAAGAAAATGACGGAAAGTAAGTTTCTTCCATGAAATTTTAAAAATCAAGTAATTCAAGAAGGCTTTAACACTAAAATTTTCTTTTTCACCACTTAAAAAATTTTCTTTTTCACCACTTGAAAAATTCAAACGTATCCAGGTAACAAGCGCATTTCTAAAATTTAAAATGTTAATTGTTATACAAAATAAACATTTTCGAACATAAAAATTTGTATTTCTTTACAATAAGCACAGCTTTTTTCAGTTAATTTATAGCACAAGGTTTTACTATCTCGAAATTTTTTGTTCTGTTACACGTTGTGGATTAAGTAAAACAAAACTTCGCCCTTTCCTCGCGAATTTTAATGAGGGCTCATTTAGGATTCTGCAGGCGAATCCCGGTTGAAACTACAAACAAAACAACAATAAAAAAAAGTAATGAATTTTCTTGTCTTAGAAAATTTTATTTTTAATGTCCACACATTTTTGACAATAATTCGTCTTTATCAGTTTCAGTGGATTGAATAGAATTTTAAAAAAATTAAAATTTTAATAAGGTTGTCTTTAATTTTATAAAATAACAGCTGATTTAAAAAAATTGAAGATAAAAAATAAATGTTTTTATAAAAATTAATTTAATTAACACTTAATTTGCTACTGTTTAAACAAGCCGAACATGTGATTTTCAGATTATTTTTTGTTCTAAGCCATATTATTTAAGGTTCAATTTATTTTTTGTATAAAAACATCTTATGTAAAAATGTATACAGGGGTAAGCTCGTCGAGTTAATTTCTCTGTTTTCAAGACAATACATCTAAAGTGGAGTAAAATGCCCTAAACCTCACGGTTTTATTTTAATCCGTTCACAAGTTACGATTCTGTTAGTGTTTATTTAAGAAAAACACGGTTTTTTTACACTCTAGCGTAACCTTTCCCAACTTTTGACCTCATTTTTGGATTTAACACCGAATTTCTATATATGTTTTACTGGGGCTTCCGACATCTAGGTCTTTTCAGCCCCAAGCTAAAAGCTAAGTCAATATTCTATTTACACTTCTATTTACAAACACTATATTCATACAGATAAAGACATTCATACACATAAATACATTCATACACATAAATACATCCATACAATACACTCATTCCGTTTGGTCAGTGGAGTACTTGATATTCCTCCACCGACCTGTACTCAAACTAATCTAGATTGGGGTCGATGGAGTACTTTTATAAATATTCCGCCATCGACCCCGTACGCATACTCATACGCTCTCAACGTTCGAGGGGCGATGATGATATTATATTTCACCCTCACCCCTCGCCATTCACGCTAATAAATACATATAGCACTCAGACAAAACATATAAGACACACAACACATGAGGCATACTATATACAATAAAAGACCCCAATTTCCCCTAAAAAGCGGAACAGGGGACCCTGAAACTCGCTGCAGTTTTTGGTAGATTGGATGGCATGCCTACGCGCTCCCTGTAGGGAGCCAAGGCGTGGCATGTTTCCAGTATGTGGGACACATCGAGCAACCTTTCTCTGCATAAGGGGCACCTGCGCGGGCTTTGGCCCAAGAGCAGGTGCCCGTGTGTCGGTTAATGTTATTGTTTATGAAAATGCTGATGCTTTTAACCGGTTTGACATTTTTTAAAATGTGTATTTCGTACCGACCTGTTTTTTTGTTCTTTTTTACGAGGGTTCGCAACAGCAGAGGTTATATCAACCCTCGGGGGCCGGTGATTTAAAAAAAAAGCCCATTTGTAAGTACATATGTCGGGTTCGAATGCAGGGCCGCTGGATTCGAACCCCGGACCTTTACCTTATAGTGATGAGCGACGTGTCAACGCCTTAACCGTTGCGGCCACCGACGCCCCCTTGGGCTTAGCAACCTGTTGTTTCATAATTTGTTTAAGATATTTTTAAAAATGTAATGTAAGGAATCCAGGGTTTAAAGATGTTAGACAATTACCATTTAGCATATTTTATGTGATATGTGCAGTTATTTTGTGACTAGAATGGCAATTTTTTAGAATAAAAGTGGACTAACCTAATAGAAAATTCTGTGTTAAATTTAAAAAATTGGGTCAAAAGTTAGGAAAAGTTACTTTAGATTGGGGAAAATTCAACTTTTATGTAAAGAAACTTGTTTTTCTTAAATTAACTCATAAAAATCTTACTTTTTGATGGGTTTGGGTTAAAACCCTTGGTTTTTTTTTTTCTTTTTGTTTTTTGTTTTCCCTTTTAATTTTCTTTTTTCGGAAAAAAAATTATTACACGACTAGCTGACCAACCTTTATATATACATTGTTTTACTACCCGCTTTCTTTCCAATCTGATCGGCAAAATCTCAGTAAATCCACTGGTTGGAAACGCAATACTCATAATTATAGGCGAGAACATGGCTTGTGTTTGTTTAATAAGGCGAGATGAACAAGTTTTCCATTATTTAGTGACGTTGGGTCCATACAAATGTTATAACCCTTTGTTTTTGCCTTCGGGTTTAGGAGAACTACGAGACGACTGTTTGGCCCCTTGATCTTTCTTTATATGCTACTCGGAAAACTATGTTACGGCTTATTACGAAAATTAAAATGATATATCATCCTGTGACGCTTCTTGAGTTTCAATCAAAATTGAATGGAAGATTTTTTTTTTAAATTTTGAAAATTCCATTTAGTCGTACAATTATATACGACTAACACATTTTCTGCATGTCTACATGCAAAAGTATTTTGCCTCTTATTCCTTTTCTACACAACAGAAACAATTAATGGGTTNTAACTTGATTTGTATATATTTTTATATATTAATCAAAGTTTAACGTTTAATAATTGAGTCTTTGTATTAAAAAAATATTTAAAAAAATGTAAATTGATAAGAAAAATAAAATATTAAAAAACAGACGGACAGAAAAATTTGTTTGAATTAGATTTTTAATTACATTTCAACGTATTTCCTCCTCTTGTGTTTATTACATCTTGAAGACGCCTCGGCATACTTTCCACGAGTCTGGAAATGTCGCTTTGCTAGTGGTGAGGCCATTCTTCACGAAGAGTCCTTTCAAGATCGTGGATTGTATCAGGAAGTGATTGACTTATTAGCTCTTATTCGTCTTTTGAGGTTATCCTATAAATGTTATCCTATAGAACGGGCTGGCCGGGGTAAGACCCTGATGTTAAGCTGTTGAAGGTACGTTTGTACTTACGCAAGCGACATGTGGACGGAAATCGTGCAGCAGAATAGGATTGTCGCTGATTTCATCGAGGATAGGGAGCGCATGATGTTCCAAAATTTCATCAACATAAGAAGTGGGCGTCAAAGACCCACCACGGACGACAACCGACTCTGTGCGAACTCCATTATAATTCCCGCCCTCACCATCACTGAGCTACGTTGAAAAGGTCGGCTCTGGGAAAAATTGGCTTTGGACCTTTCGTTTCGCCTTCTCCACACTATTTCACGCCCATCTGGAGATAGTAGAGCCAATCCACACTCATCTGTAAAAGGTGCAGCAGACCAATCGTCCAAAGACCAATGTCTCTGTTCTCCGAGCCGTGCAACTCCGTGTGTTCTGGTCAATTCTGGTAAGAGGTCCTCTTACGGGGCGAAAAGCCATCACTCCATACTGATTTAATCTTCTTCCAGGAACGAAAAATCCTTTATCATTGTTTTGGATTAAGGATTAAGTGTGTTTACCTCTAATTGATATTCCCAATTTAAAACAGAGCGTAACCAAATAATTATTGGTAAAAACAATGAGACAAATTAAGAGCAGAATTTTCTTTGATCAAGAAAATGGAAAAAGCAATTGGGTGGAATTTTTGACTAACAGTGTATATTAGCAAATATTAGAAAATTTGCACCAACAGTGTTTGGTTTTGCTACAACTGGTTTTTTTTTGTAAAATTGTGGGTCAATTGAAATTGTATTGAACATCCCTGCTTGAAATGGTGTTTTTATTGTCCAGGATGAAAAACAAATCTGAATCGGCGTTAAAAACGTTTCAACAGTAAGTGAATAAAATGAAAGATCGTTTTAATTACCGATTGGTTTCGAATTAGGGAATTAAGGAGTGATGAAAACTTGGTGTACAGTTGTTATGAAATCTAAGTAGGGCAACTTACAGATCACCTCCGGTTCGTCTCACTCTTTAATGACGGGGTGATATTTAAAACTGATTAAAAGACATGTCATTTGCAGGCATTTACGCCGGGCGTTTAGCTTCTTTATTCTTCGGGTTCCTTTTGAGAACTTTTCTCAAGATTAATCAGAACCGAGAGAGTTTGTCGGGAGACAAAGCAGGGAGGAGGTTGTCTTATTGTGTTCTCGGCTTTCGATCCGAGCCCGCTTCGGCAAATTACCTCAAAAAACTAGAGGTTGTCGGATAGTAGAAAGCTCGGGACAGGGGCGGCTCCTCAACTCAAATAAAATAGCTAATCTAGAAGAAAAAGGCCGTGAAAGGACACTTTTGACACGGTACAAATCGTCTATCCTTTTTTTTCAAAATTACACCCGTTCAGTTCTACAGCCGCTGAGGAATAAAAAAGGGTTGCAGTCCCAAGAGCGGCCATGTTACAACGGCGGCACTAGAAACAAAATCGAAAACCGTAACACGAAATAAATTAATTAGCCGGAAATAACCCGCATCTTGGAAAAGTCTTTCGTAAAAATAAAGACTGAAAGACTGCATCCCGGATCACGCTTTGGAAACAAGAAAACTTTTAGGTAGTAATCTGCCTTGCTTTCTAAACTTATTCCTTTCCTCTTTACCAGTGATTCCCATTTTGTGCTCTCTTGGTGTTGTTAAAATTTCAAACCTTAATAATAGAGAATTTTTAAGAAAAAACGTGTTGGTTTAGTTTCTAAAAAATATCTTTAATAGCAAATAATATCTGATAGAAGGTTATAAGTGTTAGTACTAACTAAAAAAATAAATTTGCAACCTCGTTGAAAAATTTACGGTAAAGCTTGACTAATTTCATAAAAAATTCTTCGTTTAATAAGCTTACTTGCGGTATAGATGTTTCTTTAATTACATCGAACCAAAATGCAGAAATTTTCTTCTAAATGAGAAAAAAGTGCGGACTGTGTGAAAAAGAGGAAGTGGGGCTAATCAATTCAACTTTTTGTCATTTTGAGTAAAATTTATTTCCCAACTTTAACTTAATAAAAAAAGCAAAAAGAAA